AAACTTAACAATACCAAGGATATAGCCATATGAATAAGGGCATGGTCTATCACTTAGGAATCTTGGGATCTTTTCAGTCTACTTTCAATCTTCTTCTAAGGTTTCTCAAGTATTTCTGCAGCAAATAATCTTCAGAAAGTCCATGTGGGTGAAAGATGATAATACTAGGAGAGAGAAGAGCACTCAAGTATAAAGCGTTGGCTTCAAAACATGTCTCCTCTTGTAATGAACATTATTTGTCATGTTCGGCTTGTACAGGCCAACAAGCATGTGAGATGAACGAGCTTAGCTTGAGCAGACATTTGATGATCCGTAGGCCTTAAACCCTGGAGTTGTTGGCTCTTTCGCTTCGAGAATTACTTAGGAGTCCCTGTCAGCGAAGTGAAGGAAGCAAAGTATCTACATCCGTCGAACACCTCGGTGAAGAGAGCCAATGCTCGACCATGAGGTCGAGTCACATGACCAGAGACAAAATTATTTCGATGAGTCATTTCGGCGTTGACTCTCCGATTGCATACACTCAGCACAAACCACCTGATTTAAGTATTCTCGTATTGATAGTAAGACCTGGTTCAGCGAAGTTGCTCAGGTGAAGAAAGAGAGGGCGCATCACACGTGACGTTTCTTCGCAACAAACCCAATCTCGCGCGGAGTTTCCGAAGAAAACTGTACATGCACTGGTTCACAAGCGGGAACATGTTTTATCCAATATTGAGGATATAAGTGGCTGCTAGGTAGGAACAAAAGAAGTGCCAAGTCTCGCATACTCGCATGGGTGATGTCATCAAAGCGAGCTGTTCATCGCAAGAATCGCTTACGACTCCGAACCTGTCGTCTCAAGGACTTAATTTCATATATTCTCACAACCGCGCACAGCATGGGAGTGAATTTACAACCACGATGACAACAACGCAGCTATCGCCCTCGCAGGCGCAAGCTCTCCTTGCTATTCTAAGTCATCATGAGGCATACCAGGAGATCCGCGATCTTCGCTTTCCAGGAGCCCTTTCCCGCTCAGGCAGCCCGTTCAAGACCAATGGCGAGCCCAACGAAATGCCACTGTTGCACGGGCTGTTCTCGAGCTTTTTTGTTCCTCTGCCAGGCCTACGGGGTGTAACGCCAGATTTCTATCAGGCCAAGTGTCAAGAGATTATTGAAGAGTTCGCCAAGGCGGATCTCAGCGAGTCATATGAAGCGGGATACATTGGGATTCGGAAAACCTTGGCCACCGCGGCTGCGGCCTTGATAGAAGCCCCAGCAAGAGGATATTATGGTGGATTTCCGAAGAAAGAACTAAGCAGGATCGATCCAGTATACGACACATCAAATCCAGAAGATGTGGTGGGGGCATTTCAGGACTTTCTTCAAAAAGTGGTCTATGGTACACTTCTCGACGAGATGTTCGTCAAAGCGGCGGAGAGCGACAACCTCGAAGACCACGACTTAATGGTGCAGGCGGCCCATGAATATATTCTTGTCATTCTGGCATCATTCCTTCACTACATTTTGATCATCACGCCAGAAGGACAGACGATGCTTACGATGATGAAGCAAGCGAATGCCCTTATTCCATATACTGCCATTCGGCAAACGCTGAAAATTGGGAATGTTGCGACCATGATCAACGCCATGATGAAGCTCATTCTCACCAAGATGACTCTCAATAGCGTCACGACTTTCCTGGGGATTACCAATGCCAGCGATGCAGGATGGAATCTTCTTCAGACCATCATCTGGACAGTTGTCAACTGGGATACCAATAATCTCAAGAGTCGAATCTCTGAAATAGAGAAGAATAGTGCTGGGCCGACTCAAAGTCAGCGTGATATTCTATTGGCCTACATGGAGAAGGACCGACTGGAACATGAGAAATGTCGGATCATGAGTGAGGCCAAATCAGAACCGATTGTGGTCACGATTATGGAAGAGTACGGCGGTGAAGAGCTGAGCGAGAAGCAGATGCCTCTTGCTCTGGATTTCCTTTCCGCAAAGGTGTCCCTACAGGATCGGAAAAAGATCATTGCAGTTCTCTGCTCTGGACAGCCAGACCTACTCACCCAAGCGGTACGGGAATGCGTCGCCGCTTATGATCCAGTCATTCGAGCTCTGCACAAGGCCGTTGACCTGAGCGGGACCGTCAGCGACTTCCAGGCGTTCTTAGACGACCTGCTGGCTTTCGCGCCTTCAGGCAAGAATTCCGCGAATGCAAGCGTGGGAGATTTTGTTCGGCTCCTAAGGAAGCACCAGAAGTCCTGCCACAGATTCATACACCAAGTGTGTAAAAATGGTCCTGAGCTAAGCACTTGGTATAAGGAATATGCGAGAGCTTCGGCCTCACAATTCAGAGTCAACGACCAGAAGGAAAATACCACAGACGCCAACGGCAGTGGAGCGGGGAAGCTGACTTCTCAACTGGAGCATGCAATATCGCAGCTTCCAGAGAAACAGAGAGACCAAGTCCTTGCAGAGTGCGACGCATTTGCAGCATATCACGCACACCTTGCCACGACTTCAAAATCCGACATGATTTTCGAAGTCAAGCATGAACCAGCTCCCAAGAAACTGAAGCGCGTGTTCACGTCATCAAAGCCAGTGACCAGAGAACCGTCACCAACACGACCTTCACCTGGCCCTGGGATGTTTCTGAGGCGCTGGCAGGCATATTTGAATGCAACGGCCATTACGCCCGCTCAACCAAGCGGACCGGTCAGATATGGAGGTGATATCGATGTGGTGACTGCAGGACGGATTCCAAAAAGCGGGGCAGCGAAGGAAGCGCAGATCCAAGCTGCAGAAGACACAGAAGTTAAAGACGCTCCGAATTGCAGCAGGACGATCGAATTGCTGGCAGTCCAATTTCGTGAGATTTTGAGGCAAGCGAGTCATGCATCGCCAGCAGAGGCAGAACTGGTCAAGCCAGAGATAAAGTAGAGACAGACACATACAGGAATACAGATACAGATGAAGCGGTCACACAGCAGGGTGAACTTCCCGAGCGGTATGCATTTGTTTGTGGCGCATAGTTAGATTCAGTTCTAGATCGAAATTTAAGCATTGCGCTTGGAGCAGGCCTATGTAATCGTGGCGTGGCTTGCCCAGCATCCAAACTCCGAGACCATGCAGGCGAAAGCGGAAAGCCATCAATATGCCAAGCGATAATATTGGTCTAGTCCACCAAGTAACTTCTGGCAGACGGAAGTATACAAAGGGTAGAAGTACCTTCGGAAAAGTCTTCGTCTGATTTTTCTTTGTCCGTTCGTAACGAGAAACGAGAAAGGGTTCTCGTGTTCGTTGTTTAGAAGGTATCATCACGCAATGATCTCCTCGTGGATATCTCTCGCCAGTTTACTCTTTCTTCTCCTTGCACATCCGACGGATGCAGCAGCATCGACATGCACGAAAGTCGCGAGTGTCTCGAATTGCGTTAATGCGATCAATTCAAGGTACACCAGGACGAAGACAGCTTCTTCGTTCTGCTATTCGGTACTTGGATGTACCTCAACACCCACGGTCACCCTTCTTGGCACTGTTACGTCGACCAGTACGAAAGTGATAATTGAATCGTATACCTTTGAGGAACTGGTATGCATCTGCAAGAACTGCACATGACCCGCTGTTGTGAAGTAGTCAACTGATGAAACTCATAGGGCTCCGTGACTTCGACAACGGAAACGTATTCATACACAGAAACTTCATCTGTTGCTTCAGCTACGACGACCATCCACCCAACTTACTGGGTAGAGTAAGTCATTGGATTTCTGTGACTGGATATAGAGGTATAGCTGATTTTGTTTACAGAAAGTTTGTGGTGCAGACAGTTAAAGCGAAGCGAGACCACCCGCGAGAAATCGCACCGCGAGCAACCACAACCTCCCCTCCGATATGCGCCTCAACCATACAGTCCAAAGCATGTTCGTGCTTGGTCACATGCCCGACGACAGTCACGAAAGACAAGCGCAAAACTATCAAAGAAAAGACGACCGAGACTAGCTACTTCGTGAGTTTTCCCGTGGAAAGAAACGTACTCACGCGACGGGACGGTGGCTAATTCGAGCTTAGATCGCAACAACCTACGTCGACTACACCGATATTCTCTACGACGTAATTCCCTTCACCACAACGGAATACTACATCGACACTGCTACCGAACTTGTCGTCTCAACCCACACCCGAACAGTGAAATGCACACCCTCGGTAGCCAACCCCTCTTTCTACCTCAAAGCCACCAATGCGCCCCCAGTCGACAACAAATACATGCAAGCCTACCCCGACCCAGGTTGGGGCTACCCAACACTCAAGTCTCCCTTTTTCATCGACGCCAAAGCCGAAGCCTCAGTCTTTTACCTGGACTCGCAATCCCGGCTCCTCAGCAACGGCATCAATGGCACTGTATACGGCTGGAGTGACAGCTATAACGACTTCCAGCTCTTTTACTTCATGGAGAGGAGAGTTATACAGCTTAGTCTGGAAACGAGATTGTATGCGTATTGTACGCTGAATCCGCCGAGTGGGCTGTATGCGGGGAATTATCAGGAGATGACGTGCGAGACGAGAGGGTTTTGGAATACGAGGGTCTTTCAGTGGTGTCCGCTTTATGTTGAGTTTTATGCTGGGCTGGGGCTGGTGTTAGGAGCGGAGGCGAGTCCTGAGACTCCGGATTGTCTGAATATTACGATGTTGGTTGTGCCGGCTTGCGGTGGGTAGGTTTCAGCATCGTTGCAAATAGGGATTGTAGATAAAGTTGCGAAATGTAAATTGTGAAAGCTGTATACACTTCTTCGTTCTCACAGAAATCGATAAATATCAAAATTTGTTCGGTCGTGAAGAGACAGTTGCCGTCTGAGTCTTACACCGAGCGTGCCTTCCCAAATGCGGAAATATAACTCCACAACCATCTATATGTACCCAGACAAGCAAAATGCTATCACAACAAGTCATAATAGACACTTGTAAGTCTAATTCAACTTCTCATATTCGTTTCACTCGACTAACAACAATCAGTGGCAGAGCGGTCCAATGCGATTCCCCGCTAAGGAATTCCCTTCGGGGGCGCGAGTTCGAATCTCGCAGGTGTCTTTAAACCTCTTCTTTTTGGCTTCCTTCTTTTTTTCCTTTTCGATTCCTTTGCTCTCTTTATCTGCGAGAGGTATTCCCCGTGTGTGTTAACTTCACCAGATGACTCGATGCCGATTCTCGCTTAATTGCTTCAGAAGAAGCGATCGATAAATGAACCCTTCTACAAAATTTATAGATCCCGTCATCTGCTCCGTACATTAGCGTTAAGAGAGTTATCGATAATTGCTAGATGTCTCGATGCAATGCGTGTACTTAGGAAGCACATATGCAGAGAGGGGTTCTTATTGGTGCGGTCAAGAGAGACAGAGACAGGACAGCCACTAGGCTGTCGGGTCTGCGAAGATAAGAGACATACAACCTGGAGTCTTAGCTATCTGTAAACAAGATGAGAAATTGCAGATCGAAATATGCATCGTTTGGGCGATGATAATTGGGACATACCATGATCTCCTACCATCCACCCTCAGAACATTAATCATAAAATCACTCCTAATTCACGTGGCGTCTGCTTGCTCTGGAGACCTCAACCACAATACAATGCAATCATAACAGATCCCTGTGTTGGTCCACTCTGGTCTTCATCATGCAAAACTGCTATCAAGTTAAAAGGGGACGGTGAGGTCGAAGTCTGCCACCGCGCGTGTGTGATAATAATTCCCCATGCCAGCGTCACAATGCAGACTAAATACCTACGCAAATAGCAGCGCAAATATATCAGATACCCAGAAGGTTTATATATCTATTTCGCATAATCCTTTGCACATCGAAACATTTAGCAATAATCGCATTCCTGCCAGCCATCTACGATTCGTGAAATTTCGTTCTGAGATCTATATCTCAAACACGAAACCTGTCCTCGCCACACCCATAATCAAGCGACCGAACAATCGAATCAACCACTTACAGTGCCAAATCCGCCCTCTTTACAGAAGACCTAACCCATTGCCCGCCTCGTGAAATCCGCTTTATACGATACGCGCAGTCGTGTTTGTGCTTATGTGAGATTCGGCGAATTTCTCTTCCTCCTGAATTCCTGGATGCAGTCTCGCCTGGATAAAGATACATCACTTGCTGAGTCGGGTATACTGTGCGCTTACTAGTGTGTTTCTTAGGTCTTACTTGAGTGTGGATATGGATATGGATACTCTGGATGACGTTTTGAAAGTGGGACCTGAGACTGGGGGGTGGAGATGGGAAAGGCTTGTTAGGACGTGCTGTACTGGGGATATGGATGATGGTGATGGGTTGAGAGGAGAGAGTCAGGTTGGAAGGGAGGAGTTGAGGGGATAGAGGTGTGAGACTTTATATACGCTGGTTGAAAATATGCGAAATGTGGTGAAGTTCCTCTGTAGGTCGCAGCTCATGAAGTCATGAACCTATCAGGACAGGCTCAAGCTCTTAGAACCTTGGATGAATGGAACTGATCCGAGCTGATTGGATGGATCTACGACAGACGAGCAAGATGCGTAGTCAGTCTTCAGGGTTAGGGTTGGAGATCATGGTTTTTGGACAGTCAGATTCGAATCATGAATCTCTACCAGTCAAAATTACCAGGCTTGCCTGTTCGGACTCTTGGAACTGATCAGACTGCGAGATTTTTGTGCATGATCAACTAGTCGAAAACTTCGTCGGACCTGCTATCCGCGAGGGTACTGGAAACATTCTCAAGGCGAAGAGACCAAGAGCAGATTGAACTTGCAGTCAGTATCTTCCTGCAGGTGTTCCTTTCGACCAGGAACTCGGAAGTCGTACCCCTGGACTGGATCTATACTTGAAGACAGGGATCGGCCGCGAAGAGTGACGGCTAAGATCGATATCCTACCTGGGTATGTGATAGGCTAGCAGAATTATTAGAAAGGGTGGGTAAGTTGTGACTAAGTAGTCTATTTTCATCATGGATGCGTATCTCCTTCCCTGTTCAACAGGTCGCGGTCTTCTTCTACACGCAAATAATATCCCTCATCCACATCTAGACACTTGACATGGAAATGAAGTATCTGGCAGTACTTTCGGATCGAATCGTAGTCGCTAATTGGTCACGATCGTGGTGTCACAACGTAATTTTCATGAACGAACATAAGCATCCACCAGATCCCAGGTATTCTGTAGCATGCGCCGCTAAATGCTTACCTACCTGTTTCGGATATCAACTAATTAATTTCTTCCTCAGAGCAAGATCCAGGTAATTGCTGACAGTGGCGTTTCATTGGGATATCTTTCCGAGGGGTTTGTTCAAGTCACTATCCCAAGTGGGCCATGCGGCTATCTGTTGCCGAATGGTGAGATGAGATGACGAAAGCGGGTCAGATAACTAGGATGTCTTGGTAATTTTCTTGTTTCTTCTTAACTTTGTACTGTCGTACAAATGAAAGAGAAGAAGGATTGTATGGTAACACAAAGTCACGTTCCCTTCGGTTGTGTCAAGTTGAGCTCCTCGGTTTCCCCGCCTTCGCCCAGACGGACACCCCGCGTTTTGACAGGTCCTCCAGCTCCGAAGTGTCACATTACTCGACAGATAGTACCCAATAATAATATTCGAGACCCTGAGTTTCCTCTGTCAACAGTCAAGCAATAAGACTACTTAAGTAGCCTGCCCCGCAACGCAACGTAGACCATGACAAGTTTTCCGTTTTAGGCTTGCAAAGCGTTTCTGACCTGCCTACTACTTTCTGACTGATCGTTATCATCATTTTAGCCACTCCACTCTCACAAGACATTATCATCCACTTCGCTTCGCTGCTGAAGTCAGCTCAGTGCTCAGGTCGTCAGACGGATATCCGTCCATTCATGCACAGCCAGTCTTTGTCCTACCTTGGCTGACGGGGGTCTACGTCCTTTAACTTTCCTTGCTGACATTTAAGAACAGCGGCGTCAGCTCACCTTTCGAACTTTGACCCTCCCTCTCTTCCTTTCTTCTTGGACTTTTTTCAAATTGTATCACATCGTCACATCATATCACAACACTAAAATAATCAAAATGTCAACATTCATCGAGAACCGGTCCCCGGTGACCCTTTCCCTCCTAGCCCTTACCTCCCTCTACACCCTCTACCACCTCACCCTCTACCTCATCACCACCCACCGGCGCAACCTCATCAGCCGCAAGCATGGCTGCAAACCCATCCCCTCCTACCCACACAAAGACCCCATCTTCGGGCTGGACATCTTCCTCGAAAACTCCCGCCTCATGAAAACCGGCGGTTTCATGGAAGCCGTTCAAGCGCGCTACCACCGCCTCAACACCTACACCTACACGCAACTCTTCCTCGGCGACCGCGTCATCAACACGGCGGAGCCAGAAAACATAAAAGCGGTATTAGCGACGCAATTTAAGGAGTTTGAACTACCGCCGAGGAGGAAGAATGCGTTCCGGCCGACGTTTGGACATGGGATTTTCACTACTGATGGGAAGGAGTGGGAGGCGAGCAGGGCGTTGCTGAGGCCGAATTTTTCGAGGAGTCAGGTGGGTGATTTGGAGACTTTTGAGGGCCATATTGGGAAGTTGATTGAGCGGATTCCGAAGGGTGGGGAGACGGTGGATTTGCAGCAGTTGTTCTTTATGCTGACGATGGATTCGGCGACGGAATTTTTGTTTGGGACGAGTAGTGATGTTTTGGGGTTGGGTATGAGTGGGGAGAGGGAGAGGGGTGTGAGGTTTCAGGACGCGTTTACGTATGTTACTGAACGCATGGGACTGGAGAGTAGGGTGGGGAGGTTGGCGACGTTGATGCCGAATAGGCGGATGGAGGAGAGTATTAGTTTTGTGCATGAGTATATTGGGGCGTATATTCATAAGGCTGTTGAAATGAGGAAGGAGGGGTTCGAGGAGGGGGAGAAGGCGGAGGAGGGGAGGGCGAGATATGTCTTTTTGGAGGAGCTCGCTAAGCAGAATATTGGGGAGAAGAAGGTTCAGGATGAGTTGTTGAATATTCTGCTTGCGGGGAGAGATACGACAGCTAGTCTGCTAAGTTATCTCTTCTATACCTTGGCGAGAAGGAAGGATGTGTTTGCGAAGATGAAGGGCGAGGTTGATGCGCTGGGTGGTGAGAGGCCGACTTTTGAACAGTTGAAGAGTATGAAGTATTTGCAGCATACTATGAACGAGAGTGAGTTACTTCCCCCTCCCATTCCACTGTACAATCTAGAAAGATTGAGAATGGATAGACTGACACGTTTTTTCCTAGTCCTCCGACTCCACCCCATCGTCCCAGCCAACAGCCGAATCTGCGTCTCGGACACCACCCTTCCCGTCGGCGGAGGCCCAGATCAGAAGTCACCTATCTTCGTCAAGAAAGGAACACAGATCAATTACCAAGTCTACGTGATGCATCGTCGGAAAGATCTATATGGCGAAGATGCAGATGAGTTCAGACCTGAGAGATGGGAGACATTGAGACCTAGGTAAGCTTGTTCTTTTCCTTTCTTTCTTCTCACCTTTCTCGTTACCAAACACAGCCTTTACCTGCTGTGCAGTACATCGTACGAACCGATACTGATCATGTAAAACAGCTGGCAATACCTCCCATTCAACGGCGGTCCGCGTATATGTATCGGACAACAATTTGCCCTTACAGAAGCAGCATTCACGACTGTGAGGTTACTACAAGCTTTCAAGGGCGTGGAGCCGAGAGATGATGCGCCCTTTACAGATTTCTTGACGTTGACGGCGGCAGTGAGGGGAGGTGTGAAGGTTGCCATGATTCCTGCTTGAGGATGTTGAGGATGTGCCAGACGAGGTGTGATTGGAGAATACTAAGTAAGGTAGGAGGAAGGGACCAGATATTGGTTTACTGGAGTTTGGCGCTAGATGGAATTGATGATCTAGGTGGCGGTATATTGATGCTGAAACCGACCAAGCGTTTAGCTAGACTGTACAGCTGGAAAGGGACTATTCCTCTATAACTTGGTTTTTCTTTAAGGTGCAATCAGATCTTCTATTTACTACCTAGGTAGAATTGCTCCTTTGAGCTGTGCTGTAAGTTTGAGATAGGCCTGCGGGG